GACTTTTCTTGGTTCTTTAACTTAGGTGACTGTTGTTTAAACCATTGAGAACTCTTGTCTTATATTACAGTGGCCGTACACTCACTGTAAGACACTGAAAACAAACTATCTAGAAAATAGACACGTACACACTCGTGTGCATACACCCTATTTGAAGGCTATGTCCTCAGCTCCATGACTTTTCCTGAGCCCAGCGGAAGGCAGGCTCAGCCCAAGAGGAAATATTTTTAGACAAGGGTGCTTCAGAGATGTAAAAATAGGCCCGTGAATAGCACACTTGTCAAAGCCCCCAGTACTCGGCCAAAGGACCAAGCAACCATGCCAGGCAGAAGCATGCTGGATTTATGCATTTTTGCAAATGTGTCATAAAATTTGAACCAGGGTCTCTGAAGTGTAACTTACATGGTAAATCTAAGAGAGTGACATTAACTGTCACAAAACCTGGACTCTCCAAACCCTCAGCACATCTCTAGTGAATGTCTCTTGGGACCCTCCACCAGGAGGACTGTACTTCATCAACACCACAGTCTATCCACAAACCCCACTGTCATGAAATTACCCTCACACCCGACATCTGACTGCTTCCAATCCTAGCACAAATATTCAAAGGCAGGCGCTGTCCTCTGACTTCCAGATGTTTACTGTGGAGTGTAAACATCCACTAAATAATAAAATAATGTAAAAACTAAAACAGACTCCTGCAGGGACATCAGAGCCTTCTCTTTCACACTTAGAGCAACACTCATCAGCCACCAAATATCTTTAGCAGCAGTATTAACTCCATGTGCTTCCTGTAGAGCTGGCAGTGAGGGAGGTCTGTGTCCTAAGGCAGGTCAGCAGGGAAGACCGAAAGTGATAGGAGAAAATGAAAACCCAAGCAGGGGACAAGTGACAGGTAAAGTAGAATGTCATCACCACAAAGAAAAACCAAACCTGACGGCTCAGCTTTTACGGCCTCCAGGAATGGCAGCACTTCCCAATACACTCCAGGTCAGAAGACAAATACGCCATAGGACTGTGCTTCAAGGTACACCAGAGAAAAACCCCAAAAGGAACTAAGGAACCCAGGAAAGCAGAGAGAAATTAATGACAAACAAATGGTGTGCCCTTGAGTACAAAAAACTGCTGGTAGCCGGGCGTTGGTGGCGCACGCCTTTAATCCCAGCACTCGGGAGGCAGAGGCAGGCGGATCTCTGTGAGTTCGAGACCAGCCTGGACTACCAAGTGAGTTCCAGGACAGCCTCCAAAGCCACAGAGAAACCCTGTCTCGAAAAACCAAAAAAAAACTGCTGGTGTGCTGGACTTGGTGGTGCATCTCTTCAATCCCAGCATTTAGTGGCACAGAGAAGAGGATTTCTGTCAGTTCAAGGTCAGTCTCATTTATACGGCCAGTTCTAGGCCAGCTAGAGCTACACAGGGGAACAAAAAAGGAAGGGGGGATGGAGGGAGGGAGTGAAGGAGGAAGGAAGGAAGGAAGGAAGGAAGGAAGGAAGGAAGGAAGGAAGGAAGGAAGGAAGGAAGACAGAATGGCTAGGAATAAAAATATGGCCTCCATAAAGGGCATTAGGAAGGAGAGTTCATAGTCCAGAAACTATGCCAGTCTCCTGTGATGCTAAAACATCTAAGTTTCTACATTTATCTTTTTTTCAAGAAAACTTAAACCCACTGGAACAACAAAAGTCAATAAGGCTAACAAGTACACAGAGCTCTGATTACTATTCCATTAAACACGAGAAAACTGGGAGGTGAGGTTGGTGAGAGGAGGTGGGAACAAATTCAGTGGCTAGGAGGAAACTTTCCAGTCTATCTGAGCAAATGTTCACCTACTGCGCATTGCACAAGAGCAAAAGAATCCAGCAAATGTTCACCTGTAGCTTAGAATGCTCACCCTGCAACCAGTTCAATAGTTTAAAGAACTCTAAATAAATGCAGGTGTTGGACTGCGTGCGTGTGTACCTGTGTGCATGTGTGTGCGTGTGTGTGTGTGTGTGTGTGTGCGTGCGCGCGCACGCGTGCTTGTGAATGAAAAGATCAGAGGATAACTTAGGGGAGTTGGTTCTCTTCCACCATGAGGCCAGGTCTCTCTAGCTGCTTCTGCCATGCTCCATACTCCAGGCTAGCTGGACCTCGCCCTTCTAGGCAACTCTCCTTTCTTCACTTCCCATCTCACAAGGAGAAGTGCCAGGATCGCAGTCACACAGCTTCATCAGTAAGCTACGAGCCAGCTCATCTTTGGCTTTTTGAAAAGGACACACGCTCACACACACAACACACACACACACACACACACAAGTTTGGGGGCTTTCTTTGGCAAAATGAATTTATTCCTAATCTCCACAAGTGTAAGATACTAAAGACATTGAGCCGGAAAAATCTCTCCAATACTATTCCCAGGCAGCCCAGTCATTTAATGAAGGGTGTGAGCTTTCTGGACTCTTTATATGAGAACAGCCTAAGCAAAGCTTCGAAAGGACTCTATCAGCCTGAGAGACACAGAGTTTTCAGCTTCCGCCTTCCCTCTTCACAAAGCAAACAGCAATCTGTCTCCACTCAAAGTTCATTTAATGCTACAAGCCTCTTTGCCAGCCTAAGCATCTGGCTGAAGATAAATCAGCAGTCAGAAGTATATAACAGGCAAACACATAAAACACATCAGTGTACTTAAATATTAACCTGCAGCCTAAGAGGGGTTTTTCCCACTTAACTGAAAATAAACAAAAAATGGCGGGCAATATAGACACTCTTAGAAGGAACAAATGCACTAATGGCCTAGGCTCTGGCCAAATGTGACCCAGCCTGGACCTCGTTTGTCTAAAATTACTTAACTGCTTGATAAATGCATTGGGTGCATACAAAAGTCTATTTACACCTTTTTGTTTTCCATATCATTCAGCACAAACTGGAACACATCAATTACTTACACAGAACTGCTGCTGGACTTAAACCACTTCATACAGAATTTGAGAAAAATGGGGGCTAAACATGATGGATGATGATAACCCAGACACTAATTTGTGTTTGTTCTTTCATGGCCTCACTCAGGCAGAATAATGAAATAAAAGGCACTGTCTTGCTCAGCAGTCCCTGAGCAAACCGCAGTATCAGCTGGTATCTGCGTCAGGAATAAGCAAGATGGAACAGGAAGCAGGGACCAATGTTCCTCCCCTAAACCCAATGCACCCACCTCAACATCAAGGATGAGGAACAAAAGTGGACATGAGCCTCAAGGACAACAGGACAAGATGACGGCAATAGTCACAAAGGCAGTTCTGACTTCTCTTGGGGCTATATGGCTACATGTGTGCTAATTCACTTACTCCTTTCCACACTCCTACAAAGCCAATACTTGGCCTACTCTGGAGAAGCTGAAGTGCAGAGATAAAGCAACTTCCTTGTGTTAGCACCAACACGCAGACCACCCAACTCCCCATGCTCGACACATTAATTAATAATTAACCACTGGTGCTAGAGGCAAAAAGATCTGTAACCCTGCAGCAAAAACTGTCCATTGTGGATTTGTTTTCCCCCAAAAGAAGGGGATGGCATTTCCATTTGCACTCCAGGTCCAGCTACACAGATCTATGATCCCCATCCTTAGCAATCACTTTCCTTCCTCTCCTCGGGTCAAGGTTCTAGAACCTTACCCACATAACTTTCAGTGCTTCCTGCGTGGGTCCTCAGGCAATGCAACAGACTTTTCTGGTCAGGGATGGACTCAGCATCCACAGAACACAACAACCGCATCTGTACAAAAGCTGAGCAAAGCTTTCTAGTTAGTTTATAATCCGCAACAGTTTCTGCATCCTTCCCTACATTGCTGCAGGAGGCATAAGCCCCCATTGCCTTGTTACTAAGATGTTGCTTAAACATTTAAGGGATACATTGTTTTCTTGGACCTGGACAGCCAATCTCGTCCTCACAGCCTTGAGAAGTTTTGGTGGTACACAGGGAGGGATACCAGTGCAGACTACCTAGCTACACTTTCCAGTTTAGACTTGTACGTTGTTGTTTGTTTTAACAAACTTAATTGACTGTATTTTTCTTGTATAAAACCCTTATGTCGTGGCCACAGCTGGAGCCTGGGTCTTCTGAACAAAGCAAAACAAGCAGGCAAACAGACGGATTTTAGAATGAAGTTAACTGACTAACGTGTTTAAAGCAAGCATGCAAGCATGCATTTGGTTGGGAAAAGATACAAACCTCAGGATACCCTCCCTAATTAAAATTAGGTAAGCATACTACCATAAAACACAAGTTGCAAAGACCAAAAAAGGTAAGAATATAACAGTAGGACATCATAGTTCTCCAATGTGTGTAGAGAGATAACTATTAACAGAAAAGGGGTGACAGTATCCTAACTGCAGTTGATCCTGCACTGCGCCTCAGCTGGCACCAGGCAAAGTCCTACAGCAGCCGGCTAGAGATTAGAGACTTCTCAGGGCCTCTGCTTTTTTTTCTGTCTCCACTCTCATGGGGTTCAGAGATGGGCATGCACACAGATTTCTGCGCCCAGGGCACTATGTCAAAGGTCAAAATCACCAGGCCCAGCCCAGGACTGAGTCCCAGCAACTCCACAAACTCCCACTAGGTGACTTTCCAAACTGTTACAAAAGTGAAGGCCAACGAAAGAAATCTGGGGGGAGAAGCAGGTCACTTGGAAAGAAAACTGCCCAAACAATAACCGGATAATTATTTAAAAAAACAAACTGATAAGGAAATTAAAAGAAATCGCAGCCCAGGTCTTGGCCAGTAGATTCCCGTCTGCGCCCCGGAGTGAGCAGTCAGCAAGTCTGCACACAGAACTTTGCACAGCCAACTCCAGCGTGCGCGCGTGCACCAGCGCTCTCCACCGAGCCTCCCCCGGCCCGGGACAGCTGGTTCAGAAGCATGCACATAAGGGTCGGGCCAAAAGCTCTGGATCTGGGACAGTGGAGCATGCTGCGCCTTCTCGGCCAGTTTCGAACTACTTCCTAGACACCCGCCCCGCGCGACCCGCTCACCTGTGCGATGCCCGCGCCCATCAGACCGCCGCCGATGACTGTCACATGCTTGATCAGGATCTTCTTGGCAGCGGCGGACGCGGAGGAGGAGGAGGACATGCTGCGCACGAATTGCCTGGTCACGAACGCCATGGCGCAGTGGAGCAGCGGAGAGCGAGCAGTGGGAACCGCGCGAGAGGGCCCAGAGCTTCGTGGGCGGGGCGGTGGCGTCAGAGGCGGGGTCTAGCGCGCCCCACCCACCGGTTTGACAGGCTGAGGGTCCTTCCCGAGGGCGGTGCCTGGGCCCAGGCAGGGATGGTCTCAAGGCACAGGCTGAGCTAGAGGCCACTTGTGGCTGCATCTTGGGCTGGTGGACTTGAGATCCTGAGCGTTGTTTAGGGCGAGAAGGGTAAGCCCGGATAGAGAACACAGGAAAGGAACGCCTGGAAATCAGCCAGCCTTCTGCCAATCACTGCGCTAGTGATACGGAATTGCTGTTGAGTGCACTTCAATACGTTCATCCGGGCCCCCGGCACTCACCATCCAGAGAAAAGACTCTCTGTCTGTCTGTCTGTCTGTCTGTCTGTCTGTCTGTCTGTCTGTCTGTCCCTCCCTCTGTCTGTCTGTCTGTCTGTCTGTCTCTCTCTCTCCCTCTCCCTCTCTCTGTGTCTGTCTGTCTGTCTGTCTCTCTCTCTCCCTCTCCCTCTCTCTGTCTGTCTGCCTCTCTCTCTGTCTGTCTGTCTCTCCCTCTCTCTCTCTGTCTGTCTGTCTGTCTGTCTCTCTCTCTCTCCCCCCTCCCTCCCACCCCCGGAAGAAATGAGTTAATCCGGTGCGGACTGAAGCTCCCCGGAAAGGTCTTATCTGTGTCTTCCACTCTGCAGAAAAGAACTGATTTCCTGTCTGTGGAAAGATGGAATGCTGGGGATAGAGGCAAAGTTCTCTCCGGCTGTTTCTAACTACCCACCTTTGTGTCTAACTTAACGTCTTCTTAAGTCAGATAACACTTTAGGAATATGTTGCTCAGCAGGCCACTGGCCCCCACCACACTAAGAAAGTGGGTTTGTGCTTGTTTTTAAGCGTGAAAACCCAGGAGAAAGAGTCTCACGATCCGTCTCAGCCTGTCTACCCAGGGTCTTCGCCTGTGTTCTTGGGGGAAGCTCTGGATGTATGACCTTATTCGTTCTGTAGCTGTAAGTTTATGTAACCTTTCTCCCCGTGAGGCTTGTTCTTCAGAACGGCTTCCTCGCGTGGTCCCTGCCGAAGGCTCCTGCACGCAGCTGCAGCACAGTCCTGCACGCCTCCCTCTGGAGCAAAGGCTCCAAATGTTTCCCATTGACCTTTTGAATCATATTTTTATATTTCATTCTTCAAAATAAACACAGCCCGTTGAGTGCCGAGTTCCAGCTAAGTCAAAAAAAAACTTATGAAGCTTGAAACAGAAGTGCAAGGTTGCCCACCTCAGAAACCTTGAAAAAGGAGGAAATTTATGAAGAAAGAAATGTGAAGAGGGGCTGGAGCATTGACTTACTGCTCTTCCAGGGGTCCTGAGTTCAATTCCCCTCAACCACATGGTGGCTCACAGCCATCTGTAATGAGATCTGGTGCCCTCCTCTGGTATGGATGAAAACAAAGCACTCATATACATGAAATAAAATAAACAAAAGGTTTTTTAAAAAAAGAAATGTGAAGCGGTAGCATGATCAACGATGCACGATGGATGTGGGGGCTCTGGCTAGAAGAAGTATCTGGAGAAAGCTCGATGCGGTGGATCTCACATTTAGTGTTCATTCGGGAGCCACATCCAAGTGAACGCTCACTATAATCCAGGTTTGGTGCTACGGTGATATCGTTTTCCCTCCCTCCCTTCCTTCCTCCCTCCCTTCCTCCCTTCCTTCCTTCCTTCCTTCCTATCTTCCTTCTTTCCTTCCTTTCTTCCTTTCTTCCTTCCTTCCTTCCTTCCTTCTTCCTTCCTTCTCTCTTCTCTTCCGTGTATGTCTGGGCTCTGTATGCGTGCAGGATGCAAGGAGGCCAGAAGATCCCCTGGATCAGAGTTACAGGCTGTTGTGAGCCTCCATGTGGGGACTCAGAATCAGACTTGGATCCTCTGGAAGAGCCGCCAGTGTTTGTAACCACCGAGCATCTCTCCAGGCCTACAAACATTCACAGATGACATTTGTGTTACATTATCATGTGTACCTCATACTTATGGTACTTTTCACGTCTCTGCTTACCTTTCCTTAGGAAGGAAGGATAAACGTGTCTTAGTCCATTTGTGGCACCACAACAAAGTACTCAAACTTCTTCTGGGACCAAGAAAACTCCAAGTCAGGATATTATCAGATTCTAAATCTAACGAGGACTCACTTTTAGCTCAAGGATGGTTCCTTGTAACCTCAAATGGTTGAAGGGGGGTGATGATGAATCTTGATTGTCAAGTTGAATGAATTTGGAACTGAGTAAAAGAAACACCTCTGGAAGCGTCTGTGGAGGCATTTCCAAGAAGGGATACTGAGGGGAAAAGATGTCCTCCTGTGTTGGGGAAGTCCTGTGTATATGTCAACAAAGCACTGTTGGCCAGTAGGGAAGCAAGATAGGTGGGACTAGGAGTCGAGGAGGACTCTGGGTAGGAGAAACACAGAGAGTCAAGACGTAACTGCCATAGGGATAAGAAGCCCGGAAACTTTTCTCTGGTAAGAGAAATACTTAGATTGGCAGTAATGGGGTAAATACTTAAGTCAGAGATAGCCAGTAAGAAATCAAGCAAACGGCCAACAGCTTCATAATTAATACATTGTCTTGTGTGTTATTTGGGGACTACAACGTGGCAGAGCCCAGGCGACAGGTAGGAAAAAACCAAAGCTGCTGGCAAGGAAAAGGCTTCTCTCTACACTCCTGGAATGGACAGCACCTTTGACAGGGGTTAGGGGTGAGATACACTGTAGATGTAAAGAGATCTGAGAAAAAAAATAGCATGTTTGCCTGCCTGCCTCAGCCTGCCTCAGCCTGCCTCAGCCTGTCTGCCTCAGCCTGCCTCTGCCTGCCTCAGCCTGTCTGCCTCAGCCTGTCTGCCTCAGCCTGCCTCAGCCTGCCTCAGCCTGCCTGTCTCAGCCTGTCTCAGCCTGCCTCAGCCCGTCTCAGCCTGCCTGTCTCAGCCTGCCTCTGCCTGCCTGCCTCAGCCTGCCTGCCTCTGCCTGCCTCAGCCTGCCTCAGCCTGTCTGCCTCAGCCTGTCTCAGCCTGTCTCAGCCTGTCTCAGCCTGCCTCTGCCTGCCTCTGCCTGCCTCAGCCTGTCTCTGCCTGCCTCAGCCTGTCTGCCTCAGCCTGTCTGCCTCAGCCTGCCTGCCTCAGCCTGTCTGCCTCAGCCTGCCTGCCTCAGCCTGTCTGCCTCAGCCTGCCTGCCTCAGCCTGCCTCAGCCCGCCTGCCTCAGCCTGCCTCAGCCTGCCTCAGCCTGCCTCAGCCTGCCTCAGCCTGTCTGCCTTCCCCTCCTGCTGGAGAACTACTGTGGGCATCCCTCCCTGCCGTCAGAACCACTGAGGAACTCTCAAGCCCCAATTGTGTAAGCCAGTCTAATCAATCCCATCTCGTGACATGCATTACTCTCAGTCTGGCCCTCTAGAGCAGTGGTTCTCCACGTGTGGGCCACCACCACTTCCATTTCCAGAAGTATTTACATTACTGTTCATAACAGTAGCAAAATTACAGTTATGGAGTCAGAGTCGCAACAAAAAATTTATCGTTGCATTGTGGTGATGTCTTGTTTGTACAAATAAAGCTTGCCTAAAGATCGGAGGGCAGAGCTAGCCACTAGCTAACCATAGAGGCCTGGAGGTCTGCACAGACAGACAGGAAGTGGTAATGTGGGAGGAGACAGAGCTCGGTCTCTTTTTGGCTGGGAAGCTGAGTGGGTAAGGTAGCTGTGGTTTGCTCCTTCGTCTCTCTGGTCTCAGCATTTTCCCCTCTATCTGACTCTGGGCTTTTATTATTAACACCCAGTAGGACTCATGTTACATAGGGGGTCACCACAACATGAGGAACTGTATTAAAGGGTCGCAGCCTAGGGAAGTTGAGAACCACTGCTTTAGAGGGCGCCTGTCACAAACCAAAGGGCTGTGTGGAGAAAAGAGGCAAGAGGGCTATGAGAGCGAGGCCAGCCTGGGCTACATAGCAGGACCCCCATCTCAACAACCACCCTCACCCCAATAAAACCCAGGAAAGGACAGCTGCAAGGCTAATTCCGGAGTCGTGCGCCTGGCCCCGGTGGGCCCTGTGACCTGCAATCACCCACTCTCCCTTTGTTTTGATTTTCATCGATTTCGCACTGAACTCCATCCAGTTTAATCTTGAGAGGCAAGATTGCTTCGGGCCTCTTTCTCCTCAGTGCCAGCAAGATGACAGTTACAATAGACTCATTCTTTTGCTGCAATACTCAGGCTTGTCTCAAGCGTGGCCTGGAGCGTTTCGGGGCCTGATAGCAACTTCTGTAGACATTCGCCTGCACCTTCATCCAGATGGCAGTGGGACTGTCCTTCCTTCTCTCTGCAGAAAGAGAGAGGGGCTACAAAACAGGACCCTGGCCGCTTTGCCAGAGGAAGGGCCTGGCACAGAGAAATAGGAAAGTAACAGTGGCTTCTATGTGGGTCCCATAGGTGGATAATTGTAATATTTTGAACACAGAGAGCAAAGCAGCGAGATTTGGAGAATGGCTCTGGGGTAACTGTTTGCTGTGTAAGCACTGAGAACCTGAGTTCATTTCACATAGGATCCCGAGCACCTATGTGAAAATCCGGGGGTGTCGGTGTGTGCCTATGACCCTACCCTGGGGGGGGCAGAGATAGGAGGATCCCAAGAAGCTCGATGGCCAGTCAGTCTGGCCAACTGGTAAGCTCCAGCTTCGGTGAGAGATGGTGTCACTGAGTAGAGCGGAGAGAGACCGAGTGACAGGGAATGTCATTCTACATCAACCTGCGGCACCCTCGTGTGTACACGTGGATGTGCTCTCTCTCTCTCTCTCTCTCTCTCTCTCTCTCTCTCACACACACACACACACACACACACACACACACAAGCACCCTTTCTCTCTCTCTATCTCTCTCTCTTTCACACACACACACACACACACACACACACACACAGAGGCAGCACTATTTGACAGCACACCCAGTGGACTTTGAGAATAGCAAAATCTGTAGTAGGCCCCAAGATGGGGTGGCTGGGCAGGGAGAGCC